TTTTTTCGCATTGGTTTACTAACACGTGGGAATAATACTAATAATTATGTGGAGAAAAGTTTCGGATTATTGAAAGATATTGTTTTTAGACGTATGCAAGCCTATAACATAGTACAAATTTTTCATTTTATTACTACTAATTTAGAACATTTTTATGAGCATCGTCTCCTAGCTATTTCAAATCAACATCCTGGAAGAATGCATATTATGAGAAAATTTTTATGCTCTGAGTACAAAGAACTTAATATTGAAGGTATTCAACGTAGAGAAGATGGCATTACATTTGATGTACCTAGTACTACAGTAGCTGGAACAATCTATATAGTTGATCCGACTATTGGAACTTGTTCTTGTTTTGTCAGTATCTCAGGATCTCCCTGTAAACATCAAGCAGCAATCGCTTTAAAGTTTCAGGAAGGTACATCAAATTTTATTGATACATTTACAATTGATGATCGAATGAATTATTTCTATATTGCAACTGGTAAATATTATTTTTTATGTGTATTACTAATATTATTTAAGTATTAATAACTAATCTATGTTTTAGGTTTATTAATTCAAGAAAGGTCATTTTATGCCTCTTTATATTCACGAACAAATGCAACATCTAATGACAATATGGTTGATCAATTAAAAGTTCAAGAATCTGCAATTTCAGAATGCATATCAAGTATTAAAGTTATTAATGAAGAAATCAAGTATGTATATTAATATATATATATTTAGTATGTTTTGATACATAGTTATTTTCTGATAGGCTACATATCTAACCTATATCATGCAGTATAACAATTTGGTTGCAGTTATATTTTGTTACTGAATTTTTACATATGCTATGTGATATCGGTTAAATAGCCTTTTAGAAGTTTATATAATTATATTTTAGAACCTTAATGAAGAATTTTTTTTCTTATTCTTTATCTTTTGTTTATACATAGTATTATAGAAGAAACAAATAGCAATGAAGAGCTAAATCGTATTGAATCTATGACTAGTTTCTTTCATGAGATAGAAAACGATATTAAACAAAATGCACAACTTCTTTTAGCTTTTGAAAAATTTCAAAAAGGATATTTTGCTGCAAAAAATCTTTCTGAAAATAAGTTAGTTTCATTTGTCTACCATCATGCAAATAGTCCTATAACAGTTTGAAGTGGTACAAAGATACCTGTTCAAGTAGCATCAGTACAAAGAAGAAAAAGAGGTGCATCACATAGTACAAAAAGAAAAGCTTCAGGAAGAAAACCATTAGAAAGTAAAGAAAATGAGGATCCATATGAAATGCAATCAAGAAAAAAAAGAAAAACAATACGAAAGCTATATAATTTAGCAAAAAATATTGATGATAAAGCTAATTAGTTGCAATTAGCTTTTTACTTTTTCATAAATTTTTTTTTTCAAATTTAAGATGTATTATTGTTATTACTAAGACAACTATAAGAATTCGAATAAATAATATATAGCTCTTTTTTGCTTTATAATAATATAAACTGAGAATTGGGTGATAGCTCTAAGAAATAACTCTGAAAATTTCAAGCATAAGAATAGTACTCTAATAATAATAAACCTTTAAAAAATGTATAATTACGATATATTGAATCTACAAAAAGAGTGTTGAAATAATGATCTAACTAATTGTTAAGTTGTTATATAAAATATGCGCAAAGTATGTATGTATACGTAGTCTATTTAAATTATGCAGATGTGAATATTATGTATAATACTAATACATATTGGCATGTTATATATGTCTTTATATACAAATATATTTTAATATAACGATAATATTTAATGATTTTATACTTAACTAATCTTTTATAAAATCATTTAATATTAAATACTTTGAAATATCATTATATGTATTATTTAAATATCATTAGAGTTTATATGTATAATCTAATCAAATTACAAAATAATACTAATCAAACTTTTATAAGATTTGGTACTTAACGTATTTACGTAATCAATATGAAAGCTAAATTACTAATAAATTTTTAAACATTTTATATATTTTAAATATCATATATAACGAGCCAAACTACCTTCTATTATAATTTAAGTATTAGCTATGCGAATATTTAAATAGTGCATATGATAGTTTATTTATTTGTAACAATACTGAATAACCGTTACAAAGAAAATAAATATTCATATAATCCAATATGAGTAGTTTGGCCTGTCATATATAGTACGTAATATGTTAGTTTATTTTCTACATGATTTGCAGGTTATATGATCTGCAATATGCATAACCGAGCATAGAATTTTTAAATGCTTATTAGTAATTAAAACTGTAACTAATACAGGTCTTATAGTTAAATATAAAATAATTATAAAACAAAAAGCTTAATATATTATTACAAAGTTGAACTAATTATAAGCTTGTATTCAGTAAATACTAGTACTTAATAAGTACTAAAATTTTATATTTTTTTAATATTTATAAATTTTAACTACTTATTAAATTTTTTTTTTTTCTACAAGAGGATCTTGCCTTTCATTTTATTATCATTTAATACTGATTACAATATAAATATATAAAGCTAAACTATAC